TAGGATTTGTTCAGATTATGTTAGATCAGATTAGATTAGATTAGATTAGCATTTCTTTAGATTATGTTAGACTGGATCAGATTAAATTAGATTAGATCAGTTCCGATTAGATTAGAATAGATTAGGTTTTGTTTAGATTATGTTATACTAGATTAGGTTGGATTAGATTTGGATTTGTTTATATTATGTTAGATCAGATCGGATTAGATTAGATCAGATTAGATTGAACATTATTGATCCCACACAAGGAAAAACAGAACAGAATAAAATAAAATAGAATAGACGTGTCTCTAGAGGTTCATGTTCTTTCAAAAACTTTCTTCCTTCGACTTTCTCCCAATACTCACAGGATTGGTGTAATTCAATCCTATCCCCGTAATCCCAGAGGGCCTCTGGGGCCCCACAGATGATCGCAGGACGGTCTTCAAGGTCCATGTCCCGGGGACTCGTCTTTGCATGATCTGCTGACCAGCTCTCTCTCTCTCTCTCTCTCTCTCACGTCGAGTGTCACTTGAGTCCATTCTTTGATGTTGTCCTCACCACCTGGTACACTTCCCCGCAGGACGGTCTTCAAGGTCCATGTCCCAGGCTGACTCGTCTTTGGAGTGGAGTGAGCAGGTCGCCATGGGGACCGCTGCTTTGACTGATCTGCTGCTGGACCTCCTCATCTGTGATGCGTGGGCTGTAGGAGAAGCCCGGGAGTTCTCCGCGGCGTCTCATCTCCAGGCTCTGGATCCAGCTGTGAGGCTCCTGGAGTTCCTGACAGGAAGAGTCACCGGAATAATCTCAGTCCTCCACTAAAGGTAACTGTTCACTCGAAATCGGCCGAGGTGTGAATCTGAGTGTGAATGGTCCATATGTGGCCTGTGATACTGTCAGGATGTTACACCCCCCACCCCCCCTCCTCACCCCTTCACCCCCGCCTGTAAAAGTATAACGCAGTGGAAGATTAAGAATAAAATATAAAATATTAGATATTAGAAGTTGAAGTGTTTCAATTAAAGTCATTAGATTGTTTGACTCATTTGAGAATAAAAACAGTGAAGCACATTAGCAGAGAACGACCCTCATGAATAATAAGAAAGAACCAAAGGAATAGAGTCGTTAATTACTCTGCAAATGAGCAAAACAAACACAGTTGTTAAAAATTATTGTCTCACAGATCACAGAACCTTGAGAGGAGAATCCCCCTCTCCCCCTCCCTCTTCGCCCCCCCCGCACCCCCCCA